ATGTCATACATAGTATTGGACCATGGATCCGGCCGAGATAGTTGGTCCACCCCGATATCTTCCTTGCTCATCTTTCCTAGAATGGAAAGTAAAGAGCATACGCACAGAACATGTCATGCCCAAATTTTCATAAGCGTTACCACCATGAAACAATCGGGTATAATTGTGCACTGTGAGCTTTCGTCAGTCATTGCTGCTTGTGTCTAGCAACGTTTGCAGAGAGAACGCTGCTGTTCCCTAACGCACTCCACGCACGTGTCTGGGCGCGTCCAAGAGATCTGTCATCTAGCCACCGTGGTGACTAGCCGGTACGATTTCGGGGCGCTGATCTTGGCAAGCTAGGCGGGCCAATCGACAAGGGTATCTCTAAGCGACACTGGTGATGGGGCCGGTTCTCCAGAGAAGAGCGCTCATGAATATCCTCGTGTCTGGTGCAAATATTTCTGTAGAGTCGCGCCAAGGTAGTTGATGCGAACAAGAAAGCGTATGAGAGAATTTTTGTTTCTACCTACCTAGTAACAACCTTCCTAGATACTAATGTTGTTACGGAAGTTGCAAGGATGCATACAACTGTTTCGTACACTACGTACCTTAGTACCTTCCTTACCTAGTACCCATTACCTTAGGCAGGTGCGAGATCGGTATCTTAGTAGGTATTCCTTCCCTTTGACTCAAGTGCGACAGCGATGCATACCTAAGGTACCTACCTACCTTTGAACAAAGTAAGGTATGACACTTGCATTGTATGCCATATCTGGAGTTTTCTGGACCATACAATCCAATCCTGTCCAGCTTTGTTGAAGTTGATTAATAACTCTGTCCTCAACTTGAACAATGATATGATATTAATTACTTTTCTTACTCAACTATTGCTTTGGCGTTGCTTACGCTGTCGCTTCAGCTCATGCACCTTGCCGCTCTATAATGGCCTTCCGTGGAACACGCCTAAGTTGCTACGAAACGCACAGAGAAATTGCTTTTTACATAACTCATATCACGCGATGTTCCATACAACAAGTCGGAAGCGGTCTCTTACTTTCCCTTATTACAGACTGTTGATTACGGATACTTTGCTCGGACTATCTATCAGATGCAATCCCCGAAGTCAATGATGAACCTGGTATACTCTGCAACGCGGCAACGCAACTCCTACCGCTGAGAATGTTGAACTATGGCGCCCCTTGTTTATCTAAGACAAATTCACCCCCGCAGTTCGAGGCCAACGCGAGCCATGGTCATCAAGCAAGTGCCCAAAATCTCTTGGTGTCGTTTTAACACCAGATCCGACTCTGAGGGCCCAAGCACCCAGCAGCTTGACTACGTTCGGGGATGTTCTCCCGGGGATCCTTATTATCGCCTTTTCGTTGAGCGAGCCAAAGCTGTCGATCTCTACTTTGGGGTTTCCAGCCGACTCATGGCTGCGAAATTGTAGCTGAAAAGTGTTTCTGCTATGCGTCCCACAGCAACCCCTGTTACGAGTCAATTCCCCTGATTGGAAGGATAGAAAGCCATGATTGGTGAGTATGGCTCCCATGTCAGGGTATCTATGTATACAACGTTTCACGGGATCTGAAATTTTATTACCCAGCAACTGATATCTGTCGATGCTGCGGTAGCATGGGTTGCTCAAAAACATCAACGAGGGTCTGCTTATCCGTGCTCTTCAGCTTTTGCTAGCTGCTCAGTCTCGGCCTTTCAAATCCCCTACATATACGTATCCAACGTGGCCTGCACATAATTAACACCAACCGACTTGTGAGATACAGCGCTCAACTCTTGGCGCCATGGTGTGAAGCCTTGATTGACATACCACGGTAAGTGCCGGCTCGGGAATTGATATATTTGCCAGACCACGATTGTTTGCCTTGATAGAAGTGGTACGGCCATGCATTATCAGGCTGACTCGCTTGTTCAGTTACGCACTGCGTCACTGATGAACCAGATTCAAGTGATACCCGTGGAAAATCATGCAACCAGTCCCCCTTTCACACGATTTTTCATCCCGTGTCCCATTCCCCTCATATCAGCCCTGTGCAATGATATGGCGCAGTGCAACAGGCGAATCACCGCTTTGCTTCATCTGGGCTAGTTAGGGAAGGCTCTAGATCTCGAGCCCCTTCAGCTCTGAATATAGAACAATTATCATCAGTGAAGGGTTCCTACAATCTCTTGGCTGTAGTACCAAATCGCCTGGATTCACCCATAGCGGAGAGTCGGTCTTCGTGCTAAAGCCTCTTTTTGCTGACGCGATATATCCTTGCTCCTTGTCAAAGAACAATCGCATTGGCTCTTCTCAGATACTTGTGGGTTCACAGGCTGTCTCTGGACCCAGCCGTCTGGTAAAACCTAGGCACTTCATGAACAGGCGAAGTGAACAAAGTTTGGAACTATCGTTAGTGGATATTTTGCATTACAGTATCCTTAGAGGCTATCGTTCAATCTTGCTCACCATCATTGATAGGTTTATAGCTGGTGAGAACCAGATTTGCCCTCGATCAATAAGTACTTGATGGCGATGCTGTTTGGCACTGTTAGAAAATAACCCTCAATTCGTTGAATGGCGGCATGAAACAACGGCCACGAATCGACAAGCGAGCATTTCTCCACTGACACGAATCCACCAAGACCATGTCGCAGAACGAAGTTTACTTCAGATCTTGAGCTGTCTCAGTCGATATCCTGTCTGACGGACAATCCGAGTTAATTAAAACATGCCGCTGAGACATAGATAAGCGGTCAGCTGTAACAGTGAGTGCTCACATAAGTATTGGCGAAGTGCTCAGGGAACATGAAAGCAAATTAGTTGCTACTTCGCACATCAATGACAATACCACAGCTGCATCCGTCTCTCAAATTTCTGTTCCACACTGAAGTTGGTAAACCATCCAGGTTGGTAAGCCCGGATTCTTGCTGTCGACTACCTTGATTGCCAGAAGATGGGTGAGGCACTGTACGATACATAACCGTGTCCCGAGGCACGCCAGTCCGCGATGGACTAACTTTAGTATCATCACTTCTGCACCTCGATCAAGCATGTTGGCGCTTGGATCAAATCTGGGGCCCCTAGACTGAGTGACTAGTTCAACGCCCTCCGTCCCTCTCGATACCCTATGGTGAGAGCCCCATGGATGGCCCGTCATAAGTTCCAATCCAAAAGTGCCATCTCGAGAAAGGTCGGCCTAAAGACGGGTTTGTTGGCTACCTAGCAGGAGACTTTTTATGCAGCGGAATCTCCAAACAGGTGTGTGTGAGCGCCAGCCTTGCTTGTCTGGGCCAACATTCAACAACTTGGATAACTCACTTCATGGCTGCCTATGAGCCTGTGAAGAATGCGTTGCTTCTGGAGGTCCTGGCGACAAGGGGTTGTCAAGGACAATGTAGGGAGAACCAAAGCTCTCTGCAGAATCTGGTCGGTGTCTTGGCCACCCTCAGTCAGATAGCATGCATCGCATGGCATCACGATTTTGATAGGTCTGTCTCCCAAAGCACCCATCTGGCATCCCCATTGACACGCAACCTGATTTGAGCAAGACTTTGTGTGCTGCATCTCTTGTCGTTCATCACATAGATGTCTCGCTCAGCCCAATTAAGTCGGTCAAGTGCCTGAGACCTGTCTCATACTTTTTGCTTTTGCCAGCAACATGGCCCTGTCATTGCCCCAGCCTACTTCTCCCCTTGCGTATTCAAGCCTCGATTCTGTTGGATGACCTTTCTAGCCTCTTGCATCTCAAATATTTCTCCACCTCGGAGAAGAAGCTCAATGTCTGGTATCCGGCTGCCGCCGTGGGCTCTATAGCGGCTGCATGGGTCAAGTCTCGTTCTGGCGAGACATGCATGAGCCTTTCATGAAAGTGCATTTGGCCTGTAATAACGGACGGCACAAAGTTGGCTTCTTGTTGATCTGAAGATACCCGAAAGATCGTTCTTCTCTTCCCTGAAAGCTACTCGACCTCCACACTACTTCGGAAACAGGGCCAATGGTAACAAAGGCAAGACTAAGTCAACAGAGATGAGGGAGAGCTGGGTGGAAATACCCAGGAAATGATAACGATATGTCACTCTCATGCCCGCCAAGGCGCATGGCTCAGATCACCACCGCCCATGCCTAACTTGTCAGTAAAGCACTCAACAGAATGACTCGAGATGTGTGGCCGTTCAGCTAGACATAGACTGGTGTACCACAGGGCCATCGAAGTCGCGCCGATGAGTTCTGGACACCATTAGCCTTCGATTCATAAGCTAATGGTATGTCTGTCCTAACATTACCATTGTGCGAGTCATCTGGTGTAACACTAAGAAGCCTGGTTGAATCGCCAGTGGGATGAGTAAAATAAGTTTTCACCTTTCCGACATTTGCTCCTCATCACTGCATTGAAAGTAGATATTTTCAGACTGGTCTAGACTTCAAGGTATCACTCTACTTGTGTCTTTACTTTCTCGATATCGTGGTTACACCTCGAATTGTGCAAAATCTGTCACAAGCTCCAATTTTGACTAACCTGCACATAAATATAGCTTGTTAGATGTTCAAGCATGTCAGTCCAGGCATCGAGAGCGCTTCGGATGATTGACAAAGCCTTACGAGGGTATATCCCAAGATTATAGTTGATAATGGAAGAAGTCCTTCGTCTTAGTCGACACAACCACTTGCCGCAGTGATCACTCTCCTACATCAGAGATAAGAATAGGTCATTAGCGTCAATTTATGCATAGATGCAATGTATATGGTGAACTTGGTGAAACTATTCGTAGACATTGATGCACGATAATGAGCGTAGAGTGGTTATACACTATATGATATCGTTGCTCCAGGGACGACATCAGTGCAATGCGATTTCTTCCGGAGCCATGAATGTCTCTCATATGTAATATCCAAGCTAGGGCCAAAATCCTTTTACACAGCAAACGCACTATTACTGAGTCCTCTCCGAACTTCCTTGAGGCAGACCGCTTCTTCATGCAAGTCAACTCATTCAAAAAAAAAAAAAAGACGTGAAGCCCTAAAACTCAAATTCAGGTCTGAACACATCCGGATCGACGCCAGCAACGGTCTTCTCCGCCAAATCCCGGCGACCCATTTGTGTAAAGACACGCCGGAGGGTATCGTACAGGGTGCTGCTCCGGTTTTGCGCTGACATGCGGTCGAGTGTCTCATCGACGCCGGAGGCATTATCGCCCAGAATCTCGTACGCCTTGCTCCGGCCGGACTTCTCAATGGCCTTGTGCATCTCCAGAGCGGCTAGGAAGTGACAGGCAGCCTCATGGTGGCAGTGAATGTTGATGCAGCTGACACCTAGGTTATAGCGGGCTCGCACAAAGTTGGGAGCCATGGCAAGGGCCTCCTGGTATGCCGCAATGGCTTCCTCAGAGCGTCCACTATTGGCAAGAGTTGCACCGAGGCGGTTCCAGAGGAGATGAAGCTGCTCCTGTTGGTTGGATGTACCAACCTCTGATGAGTGGAGGGCAGACTGGAAGCAATCCACTGCTTTGTCATAATCCTCTGCGCCATAAAAGAGCACTCCTAGGCCTACCTGCACATCGGGATCCATGTGCTCGCCGTCAGGGCTTAGCTGGGCCGCCTTGATAAACAGATTTGTCACCTTGTCATGAAGCTGCTGCCGGTCTGTGAAACCCATCTCTGCGGGTGGGTGTAGGTCTTTGGGATCGAGAATGTTAGGATACTTAACGGACAACCACCTCTCAAGAGTTCGATATGCTGTGCTGTCGTATCCTTCATTGGTGTATGATACTGCCAGGCCCATCAAGGCCGCCAAGTTGTTGGGGTCAAGTTTCAGCGCTTGCTCGAGAGCCCTGATGGCTGCTGTTTCTTTCTCATTCTGCGCCTGGGCTGTTCCTAGGTAAACCCACGCCTCGGTATGATTAGGATTCTGCTGGACAGCGGATTCGAAAGCCAGCGCGGCCAAGGACAGGTTTCCGCCTTCTCTCATGATGCGCACACCCTCCTCGAAAGCGTTCTTTTCGTCGCGGAAGAAGTTGTCTTGTTCGAATAGGTAGGTTTCGACAGCCGGGTCCCCAAGGCGGCCCCAGTCGCCCATACCCTCGAAATCGGGCATCATATTGTTGCTCCATTCGGTATCGAATTGGTCAAAGTCTTGTCTAGAAGCAGCCGTCTCAGCTTGTATTCCTCTCCATATAGTTTCGAAGTCACCCAACTCATTAGTTTCGGCCGTCAGGCCTTTGTCCATTTCGTTAAGCTCCTGCTCTGCGGCATTTGCCTCTTCTTGTTCCTTAGCCTTATCGCTATCTTGCAGCTCCATCGAGGCGAACTGCTCCTCCCACTTGTGGTCGTCGAGCTCCACGAGGCGGCCCTTGCCCTTGAGATCCTGCTGTTGTGGTTGGTGCATGGGCTGCTGGTTCTGGTACATAGGTTGAAACATGGGAGTGTAGCCCATCGGTCTGTTCATCATGCCGCCCATCATGGGTCTTTGTTGGTTCATCTGGCTAGGAACGTTGCTTTGCATCGGACTCGCTCTCGCGGAAGAACCTTGTGTGTTAAGCTGCTGAAAACGGGCAAATTCGTCAGCGTTAAAGTGTGATTGTGCAGCAGGTGGCGCCTGGAAAGTTGACTCCATCGCTGGCTGGCCATTGAAGTCGTGCGCCCATGTTGGTGACGCCGAGTTGGCTCGCATATGGGATTGGGCTAGGCCGAGAGGGGCCATCTGACTCGGCTGCATGGGGAATTCTTGCTGGAGGCTTGGGCCTTGGTTAAGGAAGCCGTTCATCATCTACAGCATCAAGATTGATGTATTAGTAATAGCTTCAACGGCCCTGTATGGCAGCGCACCTCGTCCTGGGGCGCACTGGCGCTCTGGCTTCGGAATCCATTGAGCTGTCCTCCAGGTCCTCGACCGACTAGACGGTCTTGCTGGAGTGTTCTGTCATTCTGAGTATGCTTATGAAGCTGGCTGAGGGGGTTCGCAGATGTCGAACATTCAGCGCCACCCATAAACGACATGACGGCTAGCGTTCAGTAGAATGAGTTTTGAGTGATCGGGTACGTCGGTAAGCAAAAATAAATTATGGGAGTTTGGAGTCGATGATGAGTTCTCGCTTTAATGATTATGAGAAGATACGAGTTGTAGTTTACAGTTGAGACGGAAGAGGGTCGAACTCCTACTGTGAGCTAGCGAAACCCGAAGTGATGCCCGCGCTATGGCGGGGAAAATACCGAGGCTCCGCCGTCTTCTTTGCCTTTATCGGCAGTACTTACCGAATATGAAGATAACTGTGCCGCACGTGACTGCGGGGTGGCCCAGATTCAACGCGCAGGGGTCACACCGAGCTAACAACGCAATTACTTTCGGTGAAGGGTGAACGGTGAGTAGTGCATGCTTTATCGATAAGAACATTTTTTTTCCTCGTTTCTGTCCACCCAAGGCTACAAGCCAACCTCCCACCTTGAAGCCTCACTACCAATCCTTTCAAGGACATCTATCATTCCCAATTAACAAGATGCTCAGACAAGTGTATGTCAAGCCGGCTCTCAATCACAAGTATTATTTCATAAACTAACAACCATGAAGTAAACCTCGCAATGCGCGCTCAAAGCGAGCCCTCGAGAAGCGCGAACCAAAGGCAAACGAGAATCCCAAGATGTGCCTCTTCCTCCGCGGAACAACATGCTCTCAGATAATCCAGGATGCTCTCAATGATCTTCATCAGATGCGCCAACCTCTCGCTAAGAAGTTCACCAAGAAGAACGCCATCCATCCCTTTGACGATGCCGCCTCGCTCGAGTTTTTCTCCGAAAAGAACGACGCCAGTCTCCTCGTTTTTGGTAGCAGCCAGAAGAAGCGCCCTCACACCTTGACTTTTGTTCGCACCTTTGGTTACAAGGTTCTTGACATGCTTGAGCTCTACCTCGACCCAGAGAGCTTCCGTGCCATTGCTCAGTTTAAAACGAAGAAATTCGCCATTGGCCTGCGGCCTATGATCCTGTTCGCTGGTACTGCCTTTGAGAGCCCTGTCAGCAACGAATTCACCCTTGCGAAGAGCATGCTCCTTGATTTCTTCAAGGGCGAGCCCAGCGACAAGATTGACGTCGAAGGTCTCCAGTACATCATCTCCATTAGCGCAGAGGATAGCACTGGCGAAGGCGATGTTAAGCCCGCCATTCACTTGCGTGTCTATACCATCAGCACCAAGCGATCCGGTCAGCGTCTCCCCCGCGTCGAGGTTGAGGAGATCGGTCCTCGCATGGATTTCCGTGTCGGCCGAGTCAGGGAGCCCGATGAGTCGATGCTCAAGGAGGCCTTGAAGAAGCCTCGCGGCACCGAGGAGCGCACCAAGAAGAACATCACAACTGATTCTATGGGCGACAAGATTGGCCGCGTGCATCTGGGCAAGCAGGATCTTAGCGAGCTGCAGCTCCGCAAGATGAAGGGTTTGAAGCGAAGTCGAAAGGATGCCGAAGACGCGGTGGATGTCGTTGAAGAGGAGGAGACCAAGAGGATAAAGCAATAGGAGATGTGCGGCATTGCATGCTTGGAGTTGGGCGTCTAGGAAAAGGTCTTGTAAAGGCTGCGTCAATAATTGATTTACTGGGTTCGATCCCTAAATATGACAGGTCCTGTCGTATGTCTAATTGAAGTTTCTGATATTGCTGTCATTTATCTGGGCATGGTGATCCCAATGCTGTCATCTCTCCTCTGACATTCAGTCATAGTGTTTAGATACAACTGCTTGAAGCAAGGCTACCGCTCCTTCTATGTTCCAGCTATTACAAGTATCGCTCGCTGGACCATACATGGCTACATTCGAAGCCCCAAACCGCATTTCTCTTTTGTAACGACATTATATACTAATTAAACCGAGATCAAAGTGGAAGGCCCCGCTTCCAGCGACGACCTGGAAACTTGTGCTGGGTATGGAACATGGAGCAACGAAACCATAAGCCCAAGTTTCGCTTGGGCATGTTTGATCTCACTGTACTGTTTCCCGTGCCTGGCTGAACCCTTCAACTCGTAAGTCGTGATCGATGATAAGCTTGCCATTGTGCTAATCAACACAATGACCAAAGTCCTGTGGGTGCCTGGCAAAGAATCTCGAACAATAGGCCAGGCTTTTCCCTCCTTGGTAGATTATCGCGCCGAGAATGTAATCGGGCTGTAAGGCGCCGTGTGATCTCTTACACAAGTGATCATTCGGACCATCTCGTCTCGATACGTCTTGACATAATCAACGGTTTCGATTGCGAGGAAATGGTCGTGAATCATCAAGTGGGATGATGTTAGCCGTCCTCTTATGTCGACTGTAGGTGGAAAGCATTTCTTGCTGACTAGCGACATGCTGAAGCTGGTTACCAACAAGATATTGAAAAGGCCGCGAGACCAGCTCTAAGCCCTAAGGCTCGGCCATCATGGCTGTGCATAGCCGCCACAACATTTCAGTCAGGCGAGTCCGGAACGATGAGATCCTCGTCTGCAATGGGAATAGGAGGCTGCGCATGCTGGTGCAGCATCTCAGCAAATATCTCAATGTGCTGTGTCATAGAGCCAACAGTCTGTTGCTCGGGTGCCTGCTCTTCGAGCTCCGTGCCCCAGATGTCTTGCGGGATAGAGCTGCCGTCCAATAAAGCGATCCTTATTGGCCACTCAAGGTGCCGCCACCACTTAGATCTGGGCTCGAATAAGCTGACCAGGCCCATGACCTCTCGACGAGCCACATCTTGCAACCACCATACGTTATCCATTCGCTTCAGCAATGCAAAGAAGCAAGCAAGGATGGCGAGAGCACGGGGCCGTCTTGCATCAACAAGATCAACGTAGCGCTTCGAAACAGTAGCAGGGAAAGTGAGTGCGGCAGCTGCATGATAGTTTTTATGTGCCCAGTTGAGCACGCTGACAGCATGTGAGTAAGCTTGAGTGGTTGATGAAAGCAAACGAGGATCCTCATTCATTAATTCATCGTTTAGCCCTTCTAGCATATGGCCGAAGAATGAGTCAGGCGAGCGCGGGTTGAGGTTCAGTTGGAAACCAGGTTGCGAATCAATGACAACTTTCACGATGTCGCTGTGGTGGATCCATTGCCACGAGTTTGCGACCACGGTCTTAACGCCTTGAAAAGCATGGAACCAGGAGAGGGGCGGCACATATCGACTCGTTGAATCCCCAGGAGCAGAATCCCCGTCGTCCTTGACAAAGATGCGCGAGGCACTGGCTTGGAAAGCAATGAGCGTCGCTGTGAGGAAGAGAGCCTCCGCATTGTCGGGCGTAATGCCCGAGCCCAGCGATGCACCGAATGCAGAAAGAGAGGAGGCCGAGTAGGCATGTGAAGCGCGGACCAACGCTTTGTCATTCGGAGACATTGAGCGTAGATGGAGGGCTGCGACAGACAAGATGGCGTCGGCGAGGTACGTCTTGCCGTTGCCAGAGAAGGCCATCTGTGGGACGGCACGCTGCCAGATATCCTCGGCGGCAGGCGAGTTGGTCAGGAGCGTCTTGGAGGTGACATTGGTGTAGTGATGCATCAAACGCAGCTCGAGCATTCGTTCGCCATGGTCTATGGTGTTGGTGGACGAGCTTATCGAAGGTTGCGAGTAGACGGAAGTCGGAGGAGAAGGATTTGGTCGCGGCGCTCTTGCTGGACTTGAAGGGGCACGTGGGCGTGGTAGCGGAGTTCTTGGAGCAGAATTGAAGTTGACAGTCGGCGCAGGCGAGGGAGTAGGTGCGCCGATACTCTCAGTACTGGTATTAGTTGATATGGCAAGTTCTTCGAGGACATCGGGGTTGCTGAAATCGCAAGGAACGCCGTGCTTGGCACAGTTACCACATCGTGGGTGAACCTCGTCGCACTACAACCAATGGGAATTTCGAGTCAGTCCAGGCGTCCAAAAAGATCAAGAGTCTGGGGGCGACTCGAGCCAATGCGAAGAATGTTCATGTTTGAACGACGAGCGCGCAATATGGTGCGATGCGTTGAGGCATAAGCAGAGGATCGATAAGACCTACTTTTATCTTCCTATTCTTACACCTCCGACAACCCGCCCGAGACTTTTTGTGAGAGCGTCGAGGAGGCATGATGGATTGAGAAAAGGGGCAAAGGAGAAAGAGATATGTAATTTGTTTGTTTCACGTGTCGTTTGTCAACAATTTCCCTGGGAATGTATGGAGAGGACCCTGAAATGTGAGTAGAATCGCAGCATGGCCGCAGAGGCAGGGGGCCTCTATACGGTTGGCTTTGGGGAAAGGAGAAGCAACAGTAGAGAGCAGAGAAGGAAGAGAGATTATTATAAGGAAGAGAATTCCATGACGCGTGTTGAAGAACGAAGAGAGGCGAAATCGTGGTTGAGCACGAAACGGTAAAGTTTTCGAACTTGGGGGCAGAAGCTGGCAGTTAGTTACTGCTGAGATTCCCCGTTTCGAGCAAGTGCGGTGAAGGAGAATCTGGTGCTATTGTGATGTGATGAGATGCAAATGAGGGCAGAAGAGATGCAGCCAGCAGCCACCGCGCACCATGAAGTGGAGGGGCGGTCCCGTCGGCAGGACAGCCTAGTGGAGCTTGTAGTGTCGAGTTGGGTCCCCGGTTCAGCACAGTTCTAACCTGTCATGGCCTGCTGTTGGCGTCTACAGCGAATGGGAGCTGGGAAGGCTGCACAGCCAGTCAACAGGGATATGGGCCTGTCCTGTCGTGTGCTTCCCGTCTGCTCTGCTCCCCGAGCCCTCCTGATACCTAGGTATGTACGGAGTATTGCTGTGCGTGTTGTCGGGGATGCTTTTGGTATCAGCTTCTCATTGTGGAGCCCGAATATCGACGCTTTGTCGATTGTATCCTTCGCCTAAGGGACCACGTAGACAGGTGGACTGAGGATAACATAAAAAAGGATGAGGACGGCCCGGATACCGCCAGATGGCTATCGTTTCTTTGATCATCACCAAGTCTATGGCACAATGGGCTGAACGAGGGACAGAAGTGTCGCAGAGGACCCAGTGACAGGAGAGACATCCGTACTCAGACACCTGCAAAAAGGTCACGCAGATTCAAAGATTACGCATGGACCCCTATCCAGGCGTACAATGGCTTATTCCAACCAACATGGCTGCCTCAAAGCCACTCCAGTTCAGACTCATCTTCTTCATGTCAATCGGGTGAGATAAGTTGTTCCGACTGAGGCTGTGTCAATTGGACGCCAATGGCAACTATGACGGGTAGATAGATAATGGGTGCATGGAGATATTAATCTTCCGTCCATGAGCACCTACAGAATATGGGGGTTCTCCCTTTGTCGGATATTGGGGTGGTTTGGTGGTCCGATCGTATCATGAGATCTACCGTCTTTTGGGAACACGGGACGATGGTGTCCAATGAAACCACGACATCCTGTCAGACTGAGAAAACGTTGAGCCGTCGGGGATGTGGTTATTCCGAGGGTTAAGATGAAGGATTCAGGACATTCGGTGCCTGTCGATTTGGATGACGTTTCGACATTAATTAATTGATGGATTGATGCATTTTCAAATTGATCTGCGGCCTCCGTACTCGTATCATAATGTCTGTTACAGGCTAGCCACCTTCCGACCTTAGTTCCCTCTTGTCCAAGGGGAGGGCGTGAAAAGGTGATAGATAGTGCAAACAGGAGCCAGCCAGTCCAGGCATTGTTACTTGTGTCCAAAATGCACAGGAACATGAGGTAATATGACATATACTCTAGCCTAGGTATTTTATGTCCGAATGCCATAGACTTTTACAATAATACTAGGTACATATGCACCTATCTCTGAAGAAAAAGTCAGAGTCAGTTCCCTCCTTCCATAACTATTCTTACAAGGGTCCGTCATGACTATCGGTTAAGGCAGCAAAACGAGGCTAAGGCAGAAGAATTGTTCATTCGATCCAACATCACTTGCATCTATCTATCTAGGTACCTTAGGTCTTAGGTATACTACAGAGCACCGAGGAATAGTACACAAAAGGTACTTATCAACTCTTCTTAGATATTATAGTCGTTAAATTCCTGGCTTCATGTCAATTCAGTACAACACATCTTCTTTGGTAAATCTCAACAAACGATAAAATCTTTAAACTCTGTACTAAATCTGGTCCTGTCCGTAATCTGTTGGTGCCAGCATTAGATCTGCTGACTCCATTTCCGGGCGGACATGACGACACGAACAATCACGACATCGTCGACCTGCAAGGAACCGCTTATCTTTTATGGCAGCTCTCTCCAGGTGTGTGAGATTTTTGCGGGGGGCACGGGACAATCACAAATGCATTCAGCCTCTGTACCTAATAAGAATTGTGTTGCAGCCACACAAAGAGCTCGGTAAACAAGAGGTTGTACACACCAACAGAACAAACCCTTGCACGGGATGTCGGTCATGGATTTTATTTGACGATCACGACTTGAGCTGATGCACTGATTCCAAAGCAAACGGCGGAGTTCTCGTTATCAGATAAACACAATGTGACGCGAGTTTATAGGCAACTAGGTTACTCGAAAACGTTGCGGCCACATCGGCTCAATACTAACTCTCTGTATATATCACCGAAAGGAGTAGGTACTTTAGGTAGGTATCCCGGTGGAACTACCTATGGACGGGATGTCAGACATGGGGCGGCTTACAGCCAGCGAGAACCGTACTATCTTACCAAAGATAGGTTCTCCCTTCTATCACGACATCGAGCACATGATGCGCCAGAGCCTCACCGATCAAAGGTTCTCTGTTAGCTGAGCTGACTAAAACGCTTGAAGACTTTCCTCCGTTGTCTCTCACGGTGAAATGATGGATACAAGAACACCCCCCTCCACTTATCGCCGAAAGGACCGCATCTGCCCGTCGCAGACCCGACAGACAATAGGAAACATCGAATGGTATTCGCGCGCCTTGCGCCAGGGAAATAAAGATGATACGAACCCATATATGTAAGCCATCGAGGACATACCCAGGGGAGGGGACCTTTGTTGCTGCAGTGGCGCCAAATTGCCATGGACAGTAGATGATGAAAAAGGCGTATGCTTCTGTAAGCAGCTTTCCTAGGTCACATTTGTCATTGAGTCCAAGGAAATCAGCTCGGGCACGCCGCAAGGTTACCCAAACAGGCATTCACCTGTCAAACCGTCAGTTGCAGTCCATACATTTTTGGGCAGTGGACTTCGGCCGTTTTCCTTTCTTTCTTTCTATCCTATGGCACTCTAGCGGATGACGAAAGGCACAAGAGGCGGCGCCATCCGGGCCATCGGCCAGAATACGATCATTGTACATGAGATATCACCAACTCTGAGATGAACTTGGGTGGAGGGGCAAGTAGACATGAGGTATACCGATTGAGTCTTGTGTAATCCATTTCCTCGTTGTTCTACCTTCTGGTGTACCTAACGTATCTATTCGACTTACAAATGTTTGGAATGGAACAAGCCATAGAAGAAGTCAATTCATCTCATCTAAGTGTGTAATCCAGGCGCTAGAAGAAATGGAAATTTGATATAAATCATGAGAGCCCATTTTTTCCTTCGCTGGACCCTTCCATGATTCCACAATCCCAGCATCCCAATCTGTCTAACTGATCCTTGCCCTCCGCTTGGTCTTGATCCTTAAGCCGACGATATCTGTCTGTACTTTGTACACCGAGAGCCGATACCCGACCACGAAAAAAACACAACCCAGCCAAAGTTGCATATTTTTTTGGCACACGAGTCACTCACTAATCAATTCTTTTTACGTTTATTTACTCTGTGAACCGTACATCATTATTAATCTATTGAGTCAATTTCCCCGACAAGCTGGCATCTCATCATCGTCTTTTTGACTCTTGAAACTCTCGATCCCTTGCTCAAGAGGCTGCTGTGACGTGATCGTCAAGGTTTCAAACCCACCTCTGCTCTAGACCTCTGAGACTTTCTGTCTGTCTTTTATCGACGACACGACATTGCTCCTTCAGGACTAAACTCTACGCCCTCCGCCTTTTGCGCATCATCTCGACCCTGGATCGCGTCAAACCGAGGCTTCCCTTTGTTTCTCTGTATCTCACTTGGCGCAGCAGAATTGCATCCAGTACCTTACCTAGGTAGCTCAGGTACCTACCTAGCTCTGATATAAAAAGGGTCCCCTCTCACGTTCCCCATACCTATTACATTACACAACAGACCAGGGCAACACAGGAAAAGGGAAAAAAGGCTTTTTTCCCTCTTTTTTTCACCCTTCAGCCCCGCCTGGACCTCCACTTGCTTGTCACTAGAGCCCAGAGTTTATATCTATATCAACATCTCTGTCACCACATCCATCCCACCTCAACCTCTCTTCCTTACTTCACCTCAACTCGCCGACTTTCTTCAGCTTCTCTTCGACCTCGTCTCTAGATCCTGTCGAGGCTCAATTATAACCCCTCTCCCTCTTTCAGACCCTCAGTCAATCCTCCGCTACAATGTCGGCTGCTCCTCTCAACTCGGACCCTGTGGCCACCCCACCTCGCCCTCCGTCCCCCGTCCACAGCTTCGGTACTCTCGCCGTCCACGCCGGCGCTCCACATGACCCCGCTACCGGCGCCGTGATTGAGTCCATCTCTCTGTCGACCACATTTGCTCAGTCCGCCGTTGGCAAGCCCGTTGGCGAGTATGAGTACTCCCGATCCTCCAATCCCAACCGTACCAACTTTGAGACCGCTGTTGCTGCTCTCGAGCACGCCAAGTACGCCCTCGCCTTCTCCTCCGGTTCCGCCACCACCGCCACCATCCTCCAGAGTCTCGCTGCCGGCAGCCATGTCATCTCCGTCTCCGATGTCTACGGAGGTACCCACCGATACTTCACTCAGGTCGCAAAGGCCCACGGCGTCAAGGTGACCTTCACACCAGAGATCGAGGTCGATATCAGCGAGCACATAACCCCCGATACCCGTCTGATCTGGATCGAGAGTCCCAGCAACCCTACCCTGCGCCTTGTCGATGTCCGAGCTGTTGTTTCTGAGGCCCATAAGCACGGTGTCCTCGTCGTTGTTGACAACACTTTCCTTTCCCCTTACGTCCAGAACCCCCTCGATTTCGGTGCCGACATCGTTGTCCACAGTGTCACCAAGTACATCAACGGTCATAGTGATGTGGTCATGGGTGTTGCTGCTTTCAACAGCGACGAGCTCAAGAACCGTCTGAGCTTCCTTCAGAACGCCATTGGCGCAGTTCCCTCAGCATTTGACTCCTGGCTTGCTCACCGTGGTCTGAAGACTCTGCATCTGCGAGCTCGTGAGGCCAGCCGCAACGCCGACGCTGTGGCCCGAGCTCTTGAGGCTTCTCCTCTAGTCATTGCCGTCAACTACCCGGGTCTTGACTCTCACCCTCACCGACATATCGCCAAGAAGCAGCACCGTGATGGTCTGGGTGGCGGCATGCTCTCATTCCGCATCCAGGGTGGTCACGCTGCCGCTGAGCGTTTCTGCCAAGTGACGAAGATCTTCACTCTCGCTGAGAGTCTTGGTGGTGTTGAGAGTCTGGTCGAAGTTCCCAGCAGCATGACTCATGCCGGTATTCCTCGAGATCAGCGTGAGGCTGTCGGTATTTTCGACGACCTTGTTCGCATCAGCTGCGGTGTTGAGGACGCCCAGGACCTTACCAATGACGTTCTCCAGGCCCTCGAGAAGGCTACGTCCGCGGCCAAGACCAACGGTTTCAACGGTAACGGCAATGGCGTCAACGGCTCCTAGGCGCATGTCCTAATAGTTTTTCCCAGTCGGTTTTTCGTTTATTTAGAAGATGATCTATGATGACATGTTATGAGAATTATTTCCTTTGTTTGAGGATGCTCTAAAAGCAAATAAAAAGATAAGGGGTGTGCTTCATTCAGGGCCCCCCTGGGTTGGCATTTATATAGCGGCTATGGTCAAAGCTGATGCAAATCGCATCGCTTTGTTATTGGGGCTTGGTTGACAAGCTACCTGAAGAATATTATTTCGATTTCTCGAAGTTGTCTATAGCCAATGGATCGTGGTATCTCGTCGTGACATAGGTGCCCCCGAATCGTCATTAAATATGTTCGTCGTCAGAAGGTGGGATATTAAACAAGTTTTCCGTAAACTCGTTTGCCATACTATTCTCAGCAGACCACTCATTGCGACGCCGATGTATCTCACTCATGCCTTCACATGCCGTCTCGGCGATGAAATGTAACTCATCAAGAGTGTTGGAGTTGCAATTTGGGAACACGCCATCGATGCTGCGTTGC